GTCATCTGCAAATAATGACAATTTGACTTCTTCATTTCCTATTTTTATTCCTTTTATTTCTTTCTCTTGTCTAATTGGTGTGGCTAATGTTTCCAAAACTATAGTGAACAGGAGTGGTGATAGTGGACATCCTTGTCTTGCTCCTGATTTTAGTGTGAAAGATTTCAGTTTTTGACCATTTAGTATGATACTGGCTGTTGGTTTTTCATAGACGGCTTTGATCAGATTGAGGTAGAGAGTGTCTGTTCCCATTTTTTGTAGGGTTTTTATCATAAATACGCATTGGATTTCGTCAAATGCTTTTTCTATGTCTATTGAGATGATCATATGGTTTTTGTCCTTGGCTCTGTTGATATAATGTATTACATTGATTGACTTGTGTATGTTGAACCATCCCTGCATCCCTGGGATTAATTCCACTTGGTCAGGGTGTATGATCTTGATGATCTTTTGCATTCTATTTGCCAGTATCTTATTGAGGATTTTTGCATCTGTGTTCATTAGTGAGATTGGCCTGTAATTCTCTTTTTAGGTTGGGTCTTTCTCTGTTTTGGAAATAAGGTGATACTTGCTGCCAGGAATGAATTCGGGAGTATTGCTTCTCTTTCAATTTCGTTGAAGAGTTTAAACAGTAGTGGCAGTATTTCCACTCTAAATGTCTTGTAGAATTCAGTGGTGAAGCCATCAGGACCTGGGCTTTTCTTCGTTGGCAAGTTTTTAATTATGTTTTCTATTTCATTGATTGATATTGGGTTGTTTAGAATTTTTAGGTCTTCTTCGTTGAACTTTGGTAATTCTTACGTGTCTAGGAATCTGTCCATTTTTTCTGTGTTTTCATCTTATTGGCATATAGGTTCTCGAAGTAGGTATTGATGATCTTCTGCATTTCTGCTGGGTCCATGGTAATTTCACCCTTTTCATTCCTAATTGTATGAATTTGGGCCTTTTCTTTCCTTTTTCTGATAAGGTTGGCTAAGGGTTTGTCAATTTTATTGATTCTTTTGAAGAACCAACTCTTAGCTTCATTGTTTTTTAGTCTTCATTGCATTGATTTCTGCCCTTATCTTTAAATTTCCTCCTTTCTATGGGCTTTGGGTTTGTCCTGCTCTTCTTTTTCTAGAAGATTGAGGTTCAACATCAGGTTGTTTAATTGGGCTCACTCTGTTTTTCTTATGTGAGTATTCACTGCTATGAATTTCCCTTGTAAGACTGCTTTCATTGTGTCCCATAGATTCTGATATATTGTATTGTCATTGTCATTTAATTGAAGGAAGTGATTTCTTCTTTAATTTCTTCTGTGACCCATTGGTTATTCAGA